GTTTCATCATTTGAACACTTTTATTTTGATTCTCTAAGCACTCGCATGTATACTTTAAAAGAATTCAAAGAGAATTGCAAAAAAAGAAAAAAAAAAGAAAAGGAGACAAGCTACAAGAAAAACATTGGTGATGTGTAGGTGAAGCCATCGTTAGAATGTTGATTTCTTGCTTTCATGATTTTTAGAGGAGAAATAAGAAGAATTACTTTTCACAGCAACGCTTCGTCTTTTTTTTTTTTACACAAAGTATTTCAGGGTCTTCAGTAGATGTATAAGTTTCGTTACATTCTCAATGTAGAACGCAAGAAAAAAATTTAATTAAATCAATCAATAGCTTCCTACATCAACATGATGCGTTTCGTTTTTTGCGTTCTTTCTTCATGCTCCCTTTCGCCATAAAATTTTATTTTTTTTGATTATATTTTGCTGAAGATTTCATATTTCAAACACGTTTTGGTGGTAAGTGCCTTTCTCTGGTTGGATTTAGTGTTGTTTCAGTTTCAGCTGACTTCAAGAAAAGAAGAGAAAATGTTGATTCACAGATCTTAAACGAATTTGGCCTTCTGTCATTCGTCGAAGCCAAGAAAGAAAGAAGCACGTAAAAATTTTTCCAGATTTGAAAAGAGATCGGACTATTATATTGACCCGTTACCTAGTATAGGTAATTCCTCATGTTTCTTCTTAAATCCATGTACCTATACGTATTTTTCTTTACGATCGATAATAATCCTATAGTGTGGAATTCATATCTACTTCAGCCTCATTAAACTAATATGAAATACATAAAGTGAAAAATCTCTCGTAGATTACAATTGTTTTTCAAGATAATTGATCGTCAGAGTAAGAATCTGTCTTATTTATTTCTGCATTTCGAGCAGAATTTTTTTTCTTTTTTTTTTATGGGCACCTCATCCTTTATTTGTATCGTTGCTATTCCTTCGTTATTTTTTATTTTCGTATTTTGTTTTTTTTTAATTTAACATTGCTATCATTATCAGCATTGAACTAAATGGGAAATAAGGTTGTTGTATATATCCATTATATCTACAGCAGCAGATCTTAAGTATGCACGAGAATGTCGATCTGTCTGACATATGGTGCTTCTCTTCACCTATTCAACAAATCACATTCATACGCCTGGAATCACATCCATACCGACAGCCAAAGAACTGTCGACACGGACATCGAAACCCTCAAGCATTCCAATAACTAGACCTTCATCTACACGCTAAACATATAAAGCCACTGCAAGAGCAACATACGGAGTCCATGCAGTTTATTGTTTCGGCCTGAAACGATAAAAAATATGTCCATACTCTTCGAGTCCGTTTGGATTTACGTCCTTTTCTTCATGTCCTAGGAGGCATTGTGCGATAGAGACGACCCATCGTGCTTAATCGATGCCACCGATATTAATGGAACTTTCCCTATACGTAGCCCTAAGAGAGATATGAAAACGTCAAAAATTTCTTCTTCTAAAAGTTTTCCCGTATTGACATGTTGAAATCACACTAGAGACACCCTCATGAAGCTTTATGAATATATACTACTACTTGAAATCACTTTCGTGAGTGTTAAGCAGTATAGAGGTATTTTGTAGGTTCCAGATATACCCTCTACCTTGTAGTCAAGATTTCTATTGCTTATGAGCGAGTTATGAGCTGCCGCTTTGCAACTAAGTGTTACTGATCTCTAGCTATTAGTAGCAATGTTCAAAACTTTTGGCTTTTATTTCTGAGTCGAGGGAAAACCTTTTTTGGTATATATGAGCTAATTTGGGTAAAATGGGGATTCACTTCCAGGAAAACTACCCGGTCGTAGACATCAGATTTTGTTCAAATTAAGATATTCTTGTAGAGAGAAGGGTTATGTGTTCATGTATAATTGACAGAATTCATTTCCAATAATGGAACTTTTCTTTTTAATTTCTGAACGAGCTCGACTATGTTCTATATGAAAAGTCTTGCTTCTGAGTGCCTTTCAAAAATGCTTTGCAAACCACTCTGCAAAATCTCAGGCCAACTGTTGCATAGCTTTATGGCATTCAGTCTCTACTTTAAAACTACACGAGTCAGACTTCTATAGGATCGATTTCTTATGAGATCAAACTCGGGCAAAGTCGTGATTTCAATGGAAATCATAATTTTGTGGAAGATCTGCGAGAGAAAGTTTATAAAGAACTGAATGTTTTACTAGAGTTAGTGCTCAATGAGATTCCTCTATAGCTAAAATATCAGATCTCTGGCATAATTTGTTCATAAGATATGCTGTTTTGCACACAATGAGTGAACCTTTAGCAGGTAGAATCATTAGGCACTACGTAATTAATATTGTTATTTTTCTGAGTTAAAATCCATTACACGGTATAGAGTGATGTCTTCAGTGTCGAAATAAATGACAAAATGCATTGCAAACTGTTTATAATCGACAGAGTTCTTTATCACCACTGATCTGCCGGTAGTCTCATTGTATTTATCGTCTACACTATGTATTTTCTTCATTGTATCAAATTGTATCCTCAATATTTGCAAGATATCTAGTGTATCGGCCGTACTCTCATTGTATCCTACGTATCTGTTGGATAACATTAGTTATGGTAAATTAAAAAGACATCGATCATTATTAATAATAGCGCCTTCATTCTTTTACAACTTGGAGCAAAGTAACCCCTGAAAGATTGATTATCTAAATCAAGTGTTCTAGAATCAGAAAGAAAGGAGAGATGCAATTAAGTTTAATTTATATCTAAGGCAACCACATCGTATCACTTAGATCCTCCAAACAACCGCGCATGTCCTAATCATATGCGTGCTGATCAGATTGGTGAATATGGCTTATTTTCTAAATTGATAAACAAGGTTTTCAAAGTGATTATGGAGTAGCGTTAAATATTCGAACACTCGGATTACCCTCTCCGCTTTTCCCGGTGATCAAACGCGATATATTAGCGATCCTTTCATACCCTTCTGCATTATGTACAGAGCTACTGATTAGGCAGAGAGATGGAAGCTATCCCCTTCCAAAAATGTCCGAATGTATGCGGACATTCTAGGCAGTTTGCCGATTTTTTTACAGGCACTGAGCAACTTTGGACACATATTCACTGTGAAACACTATGTGTCTTTCTCTACCACAAAGGGGAATAAAAATAAGTAGACAATATTGTTGCGAGGTGGATAGGGTTATGTAGACTCAGGGGAAAGGAGAAAGAAAGGAGAGTCTGATGACAGTTCTTCTACTGTGAGAGGAACTGGATCACTGTGGGTTTCATTTTTCTTCCTTCTTCGGTCACCACTCTTGGCGCTCCGAATATGAGAACACATTCGAGCAAAATATTAGCCGCCACTCACTACTAAAAACTATTGACAAGCACATTTACATGATTCATAAACAGTCTTATAATTCTTCAACATCTCATCGCAGAAACAGAATAAAATAATTTTAATATTATAAAGCGCGAAATCGGATAAGTTAATTTAGTTAACTTTTCTTTTTCTTTATATAGTTACCTTGAGAGTTGTTGCGCTTTTTTGTGGAACAAAACGAAAAATTTAGTTCAGTTTTTCTTTTCGTCAAATAGTTGTGCCGATAGTTTTCCAACATCTTAAGAGAGACATTGAGAAAGTTAGTTTATTTTATTTTTCTTTCTCAGCATTTATTTATCCTGATTACTACTGCGTATTTCGTTAGAGAAACAAAATCATAAAATTAACTTTGGCTTTCTTGTCTTCCTTTAATTATTCCGATAATTGCCTTGCATCTTATAAGAAAAATCGAATAGCATAGTTTAGTTTGCTTCCTTATTCTGCATTTAGTGGTGCTCATAGTTGACTAGTATCTGTTGAACAAATTGAATAGATTCATTTACGTTTCTTTTCTTTCTGTCATTCGCTGTCCTCATCGCTGTTCAGCTTTTTGCGAACGAAAATACGTTAACAAAGTTCACTTTTCTTTTATTTTTCTTCATCAGATAGTATCGCAATAGTTTTCATCATCTCTCGAAAATAATCGATTCACTTTTTTCTTTTATTCTAGTTTTCTTCTTCTTGATTCAGTTCTGCTGATAGTTGTTTAGCATTTTGTGATCGAAAGGAAAGAAGATAATTCAAGTTTCCGCGTTTCTTTTCGTCTTTCAAGAGTTTGATGTTTTTTAGAACATGTTGTGAGATGAGTTGAATAGAATGATTCAGTTTCGTTGTGTTTTCTCACGCAGTCTTATGTGGTATTGCGCTCGAGTATGATCAACTGCTATGAGATTTTCAATCATTTTAGCAATTTAAGGTTCGTTTCAATAACTCTCATAAATGTTGTATGGTTCATAAAATAAAGGGTTTGGCGGTGGATAGGGATGCAAAAGTGACTGGGCAACAGAAATGTCTAAATGTTAGCCATAGCAACCCAACAATCAATGCCACATATAACATCCCCATTCCCATGTCCAGACTCACATCGACAACCCTACCATCGCCTACACCAAAATCATGAACTTCTCACAAGATCATCCATACATATCTTTGACTTGGATCTTTAGATTTTATTGTCGAATTATTTGGATAGTTATGAAATCATCGAACAATACTACTTCGTTTGCAGCAATAGATTGCCTTCAAAAAAATATTCCGAAGAACTGTACAAATGATGACAAGTCTAACATTAGTAGTAAAACTAAATATATCTATTTTTTCATAAACCTATTTGCACTCGCTGCAATCATCTTTTTCATGGGCGGAAGGAGAAATACGACCCACAATTGGCTTCAAACTAATAGACAATGGCTTTTATATAATAATACATTTAATAATACAGATCATCAAATCCCAATCATCGTTGATCGTATCATAGGAATGATGGAAAAATATAATATTACTACATTATCATTATTGGCAATGTTAGAAAGTCGAAAAAAGCAGAATTCTCAAATTCCAAAGAAGAAAATATGCATTTTGAATGTGGACACGAGACCCTTGGAGAAATTCAGTGATATAAGGGACTTGAGCAAGATGCAATTTTATTCGCTTGCTGCTTACAATAATCTTTTTTATGGTAATCATTAATATGAGTTTTTAAATGCTTCTCCAATATTGATGATTCTTACTTTTAGCTATTCGGCATGGTTACCACTACCGACGAATAACAACTGCACCTATTCCTGGATATCATACTAGTTGGATAAAAGTAACTGAACTGTATAATGCTATTGAAAAGTACGATATTGTTGTTTTATTCGATGCGGACGTTTATGTAACAATGTCTAATAATTCTATCGAGTTTTTTATGGAGCGATACAATTTCACAGCGAACAGTAGTCTTCTTATGGCAGCTGATCCAAACGTTGACACTAATAAGGATAGCAAAGGAAGAATTACATTAAATACGGGTTTCATAATAGCTCAAAACACAAATCTGACGAAAAAAGTTTTGAAAAACTTAGCAAACTGTTCTTATATCTTTGACGGTTGTGATAAATGGAAACAACACTGGAGTTGGGAGCAACGTGCATTTAGCGATTATCTGCGAGACGAATTGAAAGTTGGCTCAGATCTCATTATAGCTCCATGCAATGAAGTCAACGGCTACGAAAGTTCAAGTGTCGGATGTGTAGGATATTATATATCTCACGTATGGACATTTAAACAATCGATGACTCAACGACTTAAAGAAACATTGATTTTAAGCTTTATGGAAGTCTTGGAACAAAAGCTTTGGGATAATAAACATTTTTCTTTCTCTTCCAACAGTACACCTGAAAAATTATTTGAATAAAGTAATAAGAGAAATGTTCATCGATTTACACACATCCATATCCTCTGTGACGAAACAGACTCTTCCAGTTGATGTTAAGCGAAACATTATCATTAGATTAGTTTTTGTCAGACACTGATAGATGCTAGAGCTGGATTTGGTCGAGAATAAAAATATCAAAATATCATAATGCTAAGAATAGGATGTTGAAGAAAACGTTTTACTGTTTAACATCATGAAAGTTAGACATTGAAGAAAGCGTTTGGATGTGGATCCCACACTCTCGTCCAAAATATGATTTTTATATTTCTAACAATAAAATAAAGTTCTAAAAAGTATCAGAACAAGAATATATTTTCCTGAGGACGTGGGTGTGGGTGTGGGTGTAGGTGTGAGTCGCCTCCTCATCCTCATCCACACCCACAACCATGCCTGCACGCCATCCAGAGTATGAGTGTGCGGGTGTGGGGTGTGTGGGTGTAGGTGTCGCCTTTCTCTTCAACTACATCCACACCCATCTACACTCACGCCCACACCCCGTGTGGATGTAGAAATAGATGTTCTCTTCAATCACACCAGCACACACCCTTCCTCATTTTGATTATGAAAACCATCAGAATAAGTCAATAGGAATTGATGAATAAGATTTTTGTAGAGTTTTTCATAGTATATATGTTTAGAAAGAATCAAAAGTTTATCATTCATCGAAGCCAAGATATATGCGAAATAAAGTTTGTTGTCAAAAAAACTCTCTATGATTTATTCATAGACTTATTAAGCGATGAGAAACTTTATATAGATAAATACATATTTAAACTTTTACAATATCACAATAGACATGCTTCGCAAATAAACGTGTTAAGTCATTTAAACGTAGAATAAAATAAATGTCTATAATTGTTAAATAAAACGATGATTATAGAGTCGACAGAATGTTGATGTTAAGTTTACTAGGTTTATTCATGGCCAAGTATTGCTTTCGATTATTAATTCTATTGGATTTATATTATTATGTGTGCTTTGCACTGATCATCGAACATACTATTGACCGTGGTCAAATATATAGAGATTGTTTTATCTCTCCGAATCTTGACAAAGAAGTCGATGATCGGCTTTCTTACTGCTTTCGAATAGATAACTTATTAGTTGAATCTTTGTCAAACAGTTGTTATACAGGTAAACAAGTAACATTTGACGAACTTCAAATGATAGGAATTCGGAGTAATGAATTATTACAATGGCATATACCATTAGATATTGCAGATCTATATGGTGAATTTTTATCTAGTACTTCGTATGATGATCATAAACAATTTATTTGCAATTGTTCGACATCGAATACATTTGGGCGTTACTGTGAATATTCATTTAAAAAAGATATAAATACAATAGAAGAACTTATTATTTCTACTATTAAAGAAAAGAAAACATTCTATCCGAAAGATCGGTTATTGACTTGTTATGATCTCGAAAATAATACTGATCGCTGTCTAGATTACAGAGATATACAGTGGGTCCCAAAATTATTCAACCAGGTGTAATTTGGATTTTTTTTCGTAGTCTTAATTGCTAGAAAGAATCCAAATGGTAATTTGAATAGAGAATATTGTTGCCAACAAGAATTTGAGAAAATGATAATCGTCATGAATTTTCCTAAAATAGTATTTCTAGAAAACCAAAACCATGGTTTTTGAACATCCAGAAGCCACAGCAGAAGCCTTGTTTTAACAGTCTAGAATTATAGAGCAGACAATTCTCTACAAAATGAGACGTCGCCGGGCTTTCTACGACATTCCCTTCAAAAGTTCTAAGCGTCACAAAAATCGAAAAAATACGGTTTTTAGTCGCTTTTCTCATAAATTTCATTTTTTTTCGATTTTTGTGACGCTTATAACTTTTGAAGGGAATGTCGTAGAAAGCTCGGAGACGTCTCATTTTGTAGAGAATTGGCTGCTCTATAATTCCAGACTGTCAAAACAAAGCTTCTGTTGTAGCTTCTGGATGTTGAAAAACCATGGTTTTGGTTTTCTAGAAATCCTATTTTAGGAAAATTCATGACAATTATCATTTTGTCAAATTCTTGTTGGTAACAATATTCTTTATTCAAATCACCATTTGGATTCTTTCTAGCGCTTAAGGCTACGAAAAAAAATCCAAATTACACGTGGTTGAATAATTTTGAGACCCACTGTATGTGATGGTGAGTTAGATACTATGAATGGTGATGATGAACTTTATTGTGATCAAATTGAAACAAATATATGTGTTGAGAATGAATTTCGATGTCGTAATGGTTTTTGTATTGATCGTCAATTTCTATTCGATGGTCAAGGCGATTGCACTGATCTAACCGATGAACAAACACTACTCATTATAAAGAAATATCATAATTTTCAAAATTATTATGAACAAGCAACTATTGATTGTGATGAACATTGGTGTGGACGAGAAATGATTTCATGTGGTGATGGAGAATGTATACTATGGAATCGACGATTTTGGAGTGGATATGATTGCAGTAATTCGTATACACATTTATACAATTGTGAATTAGAAGAGCGTTCGGATAAAATCATCAATTACAGTATTACTGACAATAACGGTCGTTGTACAATGAACATTACTGAATTCAATGATAATAATGATCAATGCTTGTCAATGATCAAATGTGCTGTAACTTTGCATCCGTCTTGTAAATCAATCAATATGTTTTTGCTGAAGGTGAAGATGCATACACATATACATATCAATTATGTCGAAACCGCACATTAATTGATTATGCTTTAGGAGCTACTTTTTTGTCACCGTTTGTTCGCGCTTACCACGTACCTAAACAATTTGAAAAATATACATCCGACTTTTTTTCAAAGATCAAAGTTCGACAACCTGATCGGCTCTGTTTAATGGGCGAGCGTATGTGTCGAGGCATTCAAGTCATTCATAATGGCTCGAAATGTTATCCGTATGATGATATATTTGAGCGAAATTATCCATTTCCACCCTATGATCATTTTTTTTGTCAATCGATTAATTATTCTGTCAATTATTGTGTAAACACTACTTTCTTTTATCGTTGTCAAACATCAGGTGAATGTATTTCAAAGTATCGTTTGTTCGATGGATTTGTCGATTGTTTCGATGCATCTGATGAACATGATCTGGAAGCACTTAATTCTCTATCACCATTATTTATAAGAGATCGATACAATTGTACAATCAACGTAAATAGTTCCAACACAGTGATGCGTCATTTCCTTGGTAAGAATATTTTGTTTTATGTTTTTTCTTTTAATGATTACTTTTAAAGTAGTTTTTTAATTAAACCATGAAATTCTAAAGTTTTACTTCTTTTCTGTTTTTCATTAGATTTTGATTATTTTAGGTGATGGAACTAATGTATGTTTCAATGGTGCAGATGAAATGAGTCTTTCGATCAATTGGCAAGAACAACAGTGTTTTAAATCTGATGATTTTGCATGTTCTCTTTTACGAGATTTAAATAACTCAAATAATGAAGAACAATCTACTCATATATTGCCTTTTACTAACTTATGTGATTCATTTTGGAATTTACGAAATGGATCGGATGAAATCGATTGTGATGAATGGATATGTGAACCAGGTTGGATAAAACAACAGAGTAATTTAAGTCGATGGAGTGGTAATTGTATTAATCCTCAATGGAAATGTAATAGAATATGGGACTATACTGATGGAAGTGATGAATATAACTGTAATCGCACAGAACCATACCCCATACCTGATTGTTTATTATTAGAAACCAATGAGATAATTTCATTAAATGTAACTAATACGATTGCTGGTAATGGAATTGTTGAGTGTTCGGGAGGTATAGATGAACGGGTAACATTTGCATGTAACGATGGATTTCCACTTAATGAACGATTTCTCTGCAATGATAAAATTACATGTTTAAAACCAATGTATCTATGCAATCATGTCATAGACTGTTCTACAGGTGAAGACGAGAGTGAATTCTGGTGCGGACAAAGACCTTCGCTCAATACACCTGCTTGCGAAAAGAAAAGATTAACTTGTCTAGAACGTGATGATTATGGTCCTTGCATACCGCAGGAAGATCGATGTCATACTGAACGTACGTCTTGTCTAAGTTCTCATCAAGATGACTACATGTGTATACATCCACGCAAATATAATCATATCATCTTGAAACCATTTACATCACCAGAAATGCAAGATCCACAGTCAAATGTTATACCTCCATGGTATTGTGATCGTGGTTTAGTTGTATACAGATATGATAAACTTGAATGTCTCTGTCCTCCTAGTTATTTCGGTCATCGGTGTGAGAAACATAGTCATCGCTTGACAGTCATATTTACATTAAATATTAATATTATTAAAGCTGATCTTATTCGAATCATTGTATTATTAATAAATCATAATGTAACTATCGATCATGTTCTCATAACACAAGAACCATCATATACCGGTAAACATCGTCTTTATTTAAACTATCCTTACTTCTTATATTCTAATCTACGAGAAACATTCAACAATTATATTGTGCAAATTCGAGTGTATACAGTTGGTCATAACTTAGTACGACTTTTATTTGTTTCACAATATCCTATTAAGTATTCATTTTTGCCTGCTTTTCGCATTGCCGTTGTTCTACGTGATAAAGATAATCTGTTACTAAGAGATCAATCTTATCATAGTGATTCATATGATTTTATACTTAATGGACTAGAAAATCATGACCGTCAAAGTCGGCTTATTTGTTCTTGCGCTTCAAACAGTACATGCTTACTACTCGGCAATCAGCGTACTACCTGCATTTGTGCTTCTCAACAGTATGGTCCAACTTGTCATTTGTTAGCCAATCCTTGTCAAACGAATTTTTGTAAGAATAACGGCACTTGCATTTCATATAGGAACGATTTTCACAAAAATGAGTTTCGCTGCTCATGCTTAACGGATAATTTTGGCAAACATTGTGAATATAAGAAAGCTATATTATCCTTAGATTGGCATAATGAAACTGATGCATTATCAACAACACGTATTCTACAATTGATCAACTACGATATTATGAAAATGCATCTTAAAATTGAACGACAACATCTATTCCTGAAAGAATCGGATCGTATATTTTATGATGATTTACACTTACCACCTATTGCATTGTTGAAAGTCTACGATCCAATTCATTTCAATCTATATCTGTTATACTTTCATAATAACTATTCTATTATTGATTTAACCGAACAAAATAAAACTAAATGTAGACACGCAAAAGAATTTAATTTAATTCCGACAAATTATTCTTATCAGGCATTATTATTTGTTATGAAACGTTATCATCGTCCATGTCAACAATTAAAGCAGGAAAATACAGTCTGTTTTTATGATCCTCAAACATATTTCTGTTTTTGCAATGCAACAACACATCGATCATTATGTTTCTCATATAATTTCAAATATGATCATTGTAATGAATGCTTGAATGATGGTAGTTGTTATGCTGGCGAACAAAAAACAAATAGAAAAGATTTCATTTGTCGTTGTGCTCCATGTATTTACGGTGCATTATGTGAATTTCGCATGGATAATTTAAAATATACATTCGAATCATTATTAATTCTTGATTTAAGTTCTATAGACAACAGTAAGTAATCATATAGAAAAAGAATCTTAGAAATTTTCAATTAATTATTGTTTGTTTTTTTTTTTGAATTAAATCAAACAATTCATTCTAATCCGAAGTACACAATATGGATCTATATGGCTATTAGTAGCACAATGGTTACAGTTGGTTTCGTAAGTAATATAATTACCTATCAAATATTAGCTAAGCAAAGAAATATTCGATCAATAATTCCTCGCTATATTCAATTGACAGCCATTATCAATCAATTGACATTGATATGTCTTTTTCTACAAATTATTTCTATTATTTTGAATCAATACAATATTTTAAATCAATCATTTCTTAAGTTATTTTTCTGCAAATCTTCTTCGTATATGTTAAATTGTTTTGCTTATACAAGTAAATGGTATACAGCTTTCTTATCAATCAGTCGTTCACGATTTACTAATCAAACAAATCTAACACGTAAACATTCACGAAAACAGTTCATATGGCCACTTTTTATTATTCTTATGATCTTTATATGCAATGGAACTGAAGTTATTTTTCATCGTCTTATCAATGATCCACGTAAACCAAAACATTTTGTATGTACAATTGAATTTCCTGAATCTGATTGGCGTATTCTTGAGACAATCTTTCGTTTTATAATGCATCTTATTCCTTTTCTTTTAAACATGTATGCTGTCATTACTATTATACGTACAGTAGCTCGTAGTAAAGCAAATATTAATAAAACAAGTTTTCTATCAGAAATATGGAAACAAATAAAACAATACAACGAACAATTAGCATGTCCAACGTTGATGATAATATGTTCAACACCAGAACTACTTATGGCATTAATTGTCAAATGTCGTGAATGGGACAATGTATATCGTCGATCGTTGATGTTAGCTATGCATCTTCTATCATTCGTACCACAAATGCTTACTTATAATCTCTTTATACAACCGTCAAAAACTTACAAAACTACTTTCGTTCATAATACACGCAATGAACATATTCTATCGACTCTTATTCGAACTTCATAATTTCTTAAAAGCTCATCCTTTTTCTCTTTGTAAATTCATTTAATCACAGTTTTAATATTCTTTCTGTTTCACGCTTTTAGCAAAGAAATTAGTTTGCATAGTTTTTAGTGTAAGCATGATGTGTAACAGATATGTTTCTTTAACGGATTTATGGCATTAGGGCACTAATTTCTTCGCCAAATATCATGTATAAAAGACATACAACGATCCTGTCCTTTGCAACTTATTTGAAAGTAACTCTCCATGTGGTATTTATCATTCTTCGTCATCGATTTTATGAGAAGAACTAAAATGTGCACTACTAAATTTCTTATTAGTATTCACCTATGTACGTCTCCATCCATCGTAATCCATGCTTAATATGCCTGTGGTCGAACGTTCCCAAAGACTTATTTCCCTTGTCATATATGTAATTGGACTATTTGGAATAATTACATTTGCTCTTGCTGCTGCTACTCTTGGCATACTTAATAAAAGATTTGATTCGATAATTTCAATCATGATAACAAGCAAACTAAGACTCAATTCAATTTTGGTGAAGACAATCTGAATCCAAGATCCTATGAATCACACTTAAGACGCTTACAACATATCCTCGATGAATCTAATGGTACACGTGCTATTAACAATCGATGGTTCAATGAAACTGGAAATTACGTTGATAATTATTTAAGAGGCCAAGTCACAGGTTTGAAAGTGATGAGAGAAACATTTCAAGTGCAAAATTTTGCTATTGCAGCAAATCTAGTTTTGCTCTCATTGATCAAAGGTGCAATAAAAAATTATATCTATTAATCAACTTCTGCCAGATTCTATTTTACCGATGTCATTTAATCGACTTCAGCTAACTTTTCGGTTTATACGCATGTGAGCAATATGCAGAATTTTGGTTGTGTAACAAATGAATAGCAAAATGTGTTAGATCTTGTCGTACTGATCAAAGCTGGAGACAAATGCACATAGGTCGAGACTGATACTCTTGCCAGGAAAATTGGCATAAGGACATTACTCTTCTGTAATAATGGTGAAGCAAATGCAAATATTGCTCCGATTTTTGTACATCTTCATCAAACGAATCAATTATCTACACTTTATCTATTGTAGCCCGCTGGACAAGCCCTTGCTAATGCTACTTTGTCAACGACAGTCACCGTCAAACTTTCCATTCTATTGGAAAACTAAGGAAGAGTGACGTGTGAGTTGTGGGTGTAGATGAGCCTCTTACTTATTCACATCCACACCCACACTCAGCCCCATGTGGTATACGAAAATCGTACTTGGTGTACACTTGCTAAACAAAATAACTCATACGAAAATATAGTTCATGTTAGAATTGATGTCGATGGACAAAACAATAGTTCTAAGTAGTAGACATGTAAAATCATAGTACTTATTGAATTACAATGATAACTTCTTTATGGTATCTTTGTATATCATTATATATGAAATAATATGATTAAAACTAATACATCTTTTTATGAAATTCTAAGATATTGCCTGAGAATCAGCACAATATAAATGTCAATGCTTCTATAACGATATGTGTCATACGATGGTGCTTGCTTCAAACGATTTCGATGTATTTATCCTAGATGGGTGTGGATGAGTGCGAATTTAGAATTACTATAAATCTCACACCCACACCCATTGTATTTTAGAAATCTCTTCACTAACTGATTAGTAAACGGAATAGTTCAATAGGTCTACATGCCACTGCAGTTTTTATTGATGTTCAGCTGTAACATCAGATGTTCATAAAGAAATATACGCAGCTTAAATCATTATAATATAAGTTTCAAAGTGCAATGAAGAAACGTAAAAAATGGAAAGAGTACTTTTTTCAACATGAATACAGTCCGTTTCCTGTGGTAGGCAACGATTTTCATGTGAAAATAGTAATAAGAGTTGAAAATGTCAATGCTTTTTCAATCAAAGTTTGATAATTAATTCCACTATCCATCTGAGTTTTCCAGCACATACGACTGCGAGATATTTCAAAAATGAATTTACTCGGGCTTGACATTATTTCAACTGAAAAATGATAATATCTGCACACCTGTGCGCAACTTCTGAAGAGTATATCATTTTTTCACCTTTGTATAAAGTTCAGTACGTGACATTTTATCACATCTTGCAGAATAGCGTTAGTAGTGTTGATATTGGCTCTTATCTCCACCAAGATATTTCGCTTGCAAATAATATCATTGCATCTTTCCCTCAGAATGTCAGGTTTGTAAATATTCACAATCAACATTACGAACAACCGAGCAAAGAAAAACAGAAATGTTTATTTTTCGGCTTTTACTGGCCATCATTGCTTATACTTATTGTATAGACATCTGCAGTAGTCTAGAGTATGATTTTATTGTCGTTGGAGTAGGATCTGCAGGATCAATTATGGCGGCAAGATTAAGTGAACCGGACAATAACTGGACTGTGCTAGCGTTAGATCGTGGGAGTGCAAGTGCTTTGACACCACAATATGAAGTGGACGGCGATCTTAGTGGTGTATATGATCCAAATTATTTCTCTGTGCCGCAAAACTATCTGCTGGGACGTCTAGTACGAAATCCACGATATTATGGTATTGGTGGAACAGCCATGATCAATGGGATGACCGCGGTTGCGCCTTCTCGACATTTGCTAGATCAACTATGGCCAAATGGATGGAAATGGGATGATCTATTCCCTTATATGGTAAAGATCCAAAATCATTATTGTTACTATCTTCCATCATCATTAACTGGAATATCCGATGCAGATTGTCGATTGTGGCACGGTCAAGATGGTCCAATAGATATAGCTCCACCATTATTTGGGAACATGTCTGATTTACTGATTGAGATGATGAACGAATGTGAGCAAGATGTTGGATTCATGACTGATTATGACAATCCTACTAAGCAATATGGTTGCTATTTTCAGCAACAATTCCGTAAACCATTGAATAAAACGGATCCGAATTCTTCAAGTATACGAGCAAGTACATGGGAAGCTTATTTGAAAGGAATTAATCGTACGAATCTTCAAATATTGGATTCAGCAACTGTTTTAAAACTTGTTTTCGATGATAATGAACCTACGAAATGTATCGGTGTAGTGTATGAATATAAAGGACAAGTGTACACAGCCACAGCAAAGAAAGAAGTTATTCTGTCTGCTGGTGTTTTTGATACACCGAAGCTTCTTCAACTATCTGGAGTCGGTCCAAAACTATGGCTTGAACCCTTTGGCATTAAAATCATAGCAGATAATTCAGAGGTAGGAAAAAACTTTATGGATCAAATGGCAGTTTATACGGCTTTTGAAACTACTGAACCAGTGCCCCCATTACCATGGGGTGCTGACACTTGTGGATGGTTGTTGAATAGTAGATTAAAAGAAAGCTATAGCAATTGGACGGATATTCAGATATATTGTTATTCTCAATTTCCCGGATTAACATTAGATGTTCCAATAGTCGGTTATGATCCGATTCTTGCTTATTCAAATCCACCTATTTCATTTATGACATTTCTTGTATTCAATACTTTACCTGATGCTCATGGAACAGTAAAAATTCAATCTTTATCACCGTATGATCGGCCTCAAATTGATCACGGCTGGCAAAATCTGTCCGAATATGATCAAATGAATCTTCAATACGGCGTAAATTTTGTTCGAAATATGACTACGAGTACTCGGTGGGGTCAAAAATATGTTAAACAAGAGTTATTTCCTGGAAATCGATACGGAGGATCCGATGATTTACATCGACGATTGAATTTGTGTAGCGCGTATCATCAAGTTGGCACTTGTGGATTGGGAAAATGCACGGACAATCAAGCTCGGGTGCTTGGAATAAAAAATGTTCGAATTTGTGACGTTAGTCTATTTCCAACCCAACTAAATGTCAATCCAACATTTACACTCTATAGTATGTGTGAAAAAGTGGCACATCTTGTCAGAGATCAACATTCCCATGATCCAACAAATATCGCCAGTATATATCACTGTCAAAAACTGAAGCTTTTCATTTCGATTGTATTTCTTTCTTTATTTCTTAATCAATAATATCAAGAACAATTAGATTTGAAAACTGTTTAGTTTATGCAAGGATGAAAACAATCGATCAAAGGTGTTAGTAGTCTGTGGAAATCTGAGGGTGGGTGAGGATGTGAGTGTGCTTGTCTCTTTACCCGTACTCACACCCACATCTACACTCTCACCCATACCTACACCCACACCCATACCCGCCACTCACATCCACATTCTGTGGAAACATATTCGAGAGATTGACGAAATTTCAATATTCATCAGTAAGAGAGAATTCAAAAGAGTGGCAGTTCTTGATTCAATTTTTCGACATTCCAATTGACCTGTTTTCTGTAGACTGAGAATATCTTGTCGAGTTCTTCTGAAGAGATGACCTCCGACAAGTTTTGAAATCCGAATGGAGCTCGTTCGTCGATTATTTTCAAGATTTTATCGGGGCCGAACTCACGAGCAGCCAAAATTGAATCCTTCAAGACTGGTCGTCGTAGTTGATCGTATATTTCGAGACCTGCTGGCGTGATTCCATGTGCACGAAAGGCCAGAACAAGGTCTCGAGCATCAAGGATAGCTTGAGAACATCCATTACCTCCATGGGGATACATCGGATGAGCGGCATCACCAATCAAAGTAACACGGTCATAGGTCCATCGAGGTAATGGATCACGATCAGTGAGATGAAACTGATTAACAATAATCGACGAACTTATGAGGTTAGGAATGTCTAGAAAGTCCAGTTTCATGTCAGATAATAAAGGAAGAACATCTTCAATGTGACCAAGATGATGCCAATCGGTTGTCATCGGTGCAGGTCGTATGCCTGGTTCTTCAATTCGAACCGTGAAAGCCCAATTAACGAGCTCCTCGCTTACAGGATAGACGATCAAGTTACGATCATCAGGATTTCCAACAAAAATCATGGTTCTTCCATCCAAATAGAGCTTATCCATACATGTCACACCACGCCACATGGTGATACCTTGCCAAAGAGGAGGACCCTCATCAGGATAAAGAATTTTACGTACAGTTGAATTGATTCCATCAGCACCTAATAGCACTTTGGCTCTTTCCGTATTAAATTCACCAGTAATTGAATTCACAAAATCGACTTCAACATAATGTGGTTGTGATCGAAATGAGACTAACTTTTGGCCGAGACGAACAACCTCTGCGCCTATTTCTTCTCGTACATGGCGAAGTAGAAGTTGTTGAAAACGACCTCGATGCATCGAATACATCGGCCATTTGTAACCTGCATCGAGACCTCTCGGATCCTGATGAATGAACTGACCATGACGTGAATACAAGACTGCTTTATTATTACGAATGCCAACTTCATTCATTTCTGATTCGAGTCCGAGCTCGTACAATAACTTGACACAATATGGTTGGAGATTTAAACCGAAACCTGCTTCCTCAAGTTTTTGAGCGCGTTCATGAATACGAACAGAGAAACCAGCACGATGCAGGCAAAGAGCAGTGACAAGACCACTGATACCAGCTCCGGCAATAAGAATGTCAGTCATTTCTACACGATTGTTATCGATGAGAGCATTGCTCATGTTTGATGTTTGATGCTCAGTTTCCAATCTGTTTATTATTTTGTCTACTGATATCTAGAAAAAAAAGCTCATGGATATACAAGTAGACCTATGCTGTTTCTGGAAGAAATACAAGTAACTACCACTGTATAAATCATTACGTGTTAGGAGGGCTCTATCACCAGTAGTTTAATTTTTAAAAACAGGAAAATATACGATCATAGTTAAATTATTTTGAGGTCGTTAATCGTACGTTTACGTTGTATCGAAGCATTTGTCATCCGTTCTCGTAGCCAAATGTACTCGAGAAAAAAATCAAACCTCTTCTGATGCAGAAAAAAAACTGATTCTTTTGCTTTCGACATGATGTGTGTGTAGTAGCACGTGGAGAGATAAAGTGAATGATAATAAAAGTGCACTCTACTGACTTGATATACAGAACATGAAAGTGAAGAATCAATAGCAACTTACGTGAAGGTGTCGATGTGGATGCGATGTTTTTCGATCACCTACACTTTCATCCACATTCATATTACCGGTGTTGTACTAGCATGAAATTGCTTGTTAGACTTTGTCACAAAATAAATACTTCTTTCTATATTGGCAACAGACAAACATAAAGCATGTTTGACAATCACTATTACAAACAACTTGATTGTCAGTTATGAGAAGCTCTGAGTGATCGCTATGTATTAGACAATGTATGTAGAGCCCAACCAAGGAAGAATATTTTGATTCTTGATTTACTAGCCTCTCCCTCCAGTGGACGGAAAAGGGGACTAAGAACGATTCTTTTAACGATTGTAGCTATTAATTTAATATTTTGTGTACATATACCCGACACTTCATACTGATTATTTGCGCTTACTCAGCCTTCCTTATTCGACAGATTCTTGGAAAATGAAGTTGTTGGGCTTTCGAAATCTGACAATTAGCACAATAGAAAGTAGTCATCCAATTATAATGTTTTTTTAGCAACAATGAGATAACAATTTTTTTTTCATATAGTTGATACAGTTATTAACTAAATATTATATAAATTTTGTGATGGACTAATTATTCTTCAAGGGTCAGACAGGGAATAATAGCAGTGCAAATTAGTAGTTTATTACTTGGAAAAATTCTCTTAATAGCAAATTAAGAAAAAGTTAGTCGGTGTGCGATGCATACAACTCAGAAGAACTAGAGTTTTGTATATATAAGAAGAACAAATTAAAACATACTTGATAATCTAAAATTTTCATAAAGCCATATAATCTCTAATGAGGATTGATTCCACAATTGCATTTTATTTTCGATAATACCGGTCGTTTATGATCTGATTGGCCGACATTAGTCACAAATAATACTCAAGCTCAATTAACAGTTTTCGCAAGGCAATGCTTGTATAGAAGATAAAGTTTTGTTTTTTTTTTTACTTTTTTATTTATGCATTAGATAATATTTTGAAAATAGGTTTGATGCAGGTCTAGTTGTAACATGTAAATGAGCTCACTGATGCTGTGAAGTTTTATCACAAAAAAAGACACATGACAAAAATACTTCTGTTATGTGAGGTTTAAAATTGTTCTGTAATATGTCCTGAAATGTATTAAAATAAGCTTCCGAAGCCTCTTACTACGAAAATAATTCACTTATACTAACATTATCTGTCTCGGACGAAACTTACAAAAGATCGTGCAATTCGATGTGTTTTTACGAACAGGAAAATTAAAACAATATGAAACAAATCATTATAAACCTTCGAGCAAAAGTCTTTTTCTATTTTGTTTTTTTGATGCTGTCATCCTTTGCATCAAATTTATTACTGAATAAAGATATGACATGACAGTTTTATTACAGTGTAATCTATACAACAAAATGAAATAAAATTTTCATGTCCTATCTCTACTTAGTCATAAATATAATGCAAAATTTGGCAGCATAAAAAGATAAAGAGGGGAAAGATTTTTATCCAGGCTTGTACGTCTTACAAGGGAACATATGCATAATTTTTCTTTTCATAGATTTAATTTTTAAGTAAGAGTTAAAGTATCGGTTTTAAAATGAAATGGTCAATATAAAATTTGAAGTTGCTTTAGGTTTGATGCTTATTATCTATTCGAAACTTGATGAACTAGCAAACATGAATGATCACTGTATAGAAATTGTCGACAAATTTTGATAGAAGGTTACATTTGAAACACTCTATCTCAACAAAAGTTTAAGCGTGCATCTTTTTGCATCCACTGAAGATAGATGATGGCGTGCTCTACCAAATAACAAATTAAAACTTGATTTAAAGTTTCGATCTTATTATAGTCGACAGAACTCCAAGAAGTCCAAATTGACCTGTAATATATAGTAAATACACAACACTGTATAGCTATATAATAACTAATGAATATAACTAGATCCTCAATTTAAAGTATACATATTACTTAAGGTGTGGTTGGGTGCGGATGTAAGGGTAGGGCTTCGTTTGAATCTCACCAACACTCATATTCATACGCCCATACTCCACATATACATCCGCGCTATATATTACCAAATGAAAAAATTCCCGTTTCAATTGTTATCAGATCGACATGAGTACTCTGTCCTGCATAAACATCTCACATGAGGATTTTACCAATAACAATGGTAATTCATCACAGAATATCTTTAAACCATAATTGTTGTTAAAAGAAAAATAAATGACGAAAAAACCTCATATCTAATCTATATATCTCTTAATCAAATAAATGATTACATACATATATAAATTCTCTTCAACATTCATTTTCTCCATCGTATTTTTCCGAAAAATAAAAACTTCGTTCAAAACTTTATTTTTACAAAATTCGACAAAACATACTATAAGAATAAACATACACAGTGCAGACAATTAAGTTAAGATAAGAAAAACAAAAAGAAATAAATTTGATTAGTGATTCGAAAAAGATCGTTTCTTAATAACACATTTTTAAATTAAGAAAAGTAATTCGTATAAAAAAACCCAATACAAATATTGTTTTATTAAATTTTCTCTTCCGATAGTATCCGAACCAAATCAATTCTACCCTCGTGATCAATGACATTGCATATACGTTCATAAACATCAAATAAATTTTCTTCTTCAATAGTAACTATGAAATACAAAATAAGAGAATTCGAATGCAATATTTTCTTACAATATCAATTTGGTACCATGTAGTTTAACATATATAACAATGGGACAAATACCAGCTCTGATTAGACTTTTAATAGCATCATCACTAACGTCCATAACACAATGTTTTGACTCTAATATATATAGATATGAATTACTTTTTTTTTTTTTCAAATATATACATACAGCATTAATTACGTCACGAATAGCATTGACACTTGTACCATATAAGAGGTGTGGGTATGAGACGTGTTAGGAGCAGCGAAACACTCATACCCACACCCACGCTCACCCTGATAATTGAAGGACTCTCAGGCTTCTATGCAGATATCCTTATTAAGTGTTAACAAAATCGATATATTTTGAGAGTGATGTATACTCTGCAAAGTTTAATGTGATGTTAATTGACATAACTCGCATATATAGACTCATGGTCTAAAAGACGAATATTGTAAAAAATGCTATACACAGGGGGCTCAATGAGGCTCTTGAAAATACTATTAAAGTATATCAAAAATAGCATCAAAATGTTCGCTGTATTGAAATCTATCTATATAGTTTCTAGAACGATCCGTCAAAAAAAAAATGTCAGTGGACCGATTTGTGGTCTTATGCGCCCGAGAGAATATGATATTGATGACGTGAGAAAGATCATGACGATTAAAGCCGATTATTATTTTTACCAGTATTGAATATTCTGTGAGTCCATCAGTACATATCGGTATATTGTTTCTATTTTGAACTGATTTCTACAATTTTTCAAGAACTTTTTATATACGAACTAAAGATAAGTATGATAAAATGATTATTACACTGAATTCAAACATGTTTTTCGAATAATTGCAAGAAAAAATTAAAAAAGCCAACGGTTGAGTAATATCTTTCCTAACGAGATTTTTATTGATAGATGGATTTTAATATAAAAAAAGATTTAGAGAAATTTTTGGATAATAGCGCAAAAGATATAAAAATTATTCATTATCTATATATAAGGGACATGAACAATCATTTGATGATTTCGTTTGTGAATACAATGGAGCATTTTAGACACGATTCAAACGAAATCCAAGTCAATTTTATTAAGAGAACATGCGTCTGTACAATGTTCTCCTGCTCCTTAAAAAAATATTTCAAATCCATCTCAGTCGATATAAAATGCACATATTCGCTGCAATAAATTGTAATATATCAATGAAAATCAAGATCAATTGTAACCATTGTTATAGCTATCGATTCATCCGTTTGTACGTGCTAGATGTATGTCTAGTAAGCAAAGAATGTTTGCACAACTAGCCAGAGTTATAAAGAAAGAGAATAAAAAAATAGAGCAATACGATGTTGTATTGAAGAATGTATGTACGATAATGCGTAATGTCGTATTTGATAAAGATATACCTACGTAAACATTTGATTGTTATTCCCTGATAAAAAAAATTTGTTTTTGTTTTTGTTTTATACAGAATGAAATCACTGACGTAACCAGTCAGAATTTGACGCAAATATAAAGTTTTAACTACTAAGCACGAGAGAGAGTTCATGATAAAGCTTAACTAGTTCGATTTTGTTCGAAAACTACATTCAAAACTTTTCAAAGAGACGTTGATGACTATGTATTGTCTTTACCTTTGTGTCCTTACTTCCTACATTATGTTATACATTGTCCCTATCTTATTGCTCTTTCTTTCTGTCCTTATTAACCTCTCCTTTCTTCTCTCTAATGGGTGAGTATATAAGTGTATGTTTTGTATGGAAGCGATGTGATTCTTGATAGGAAGAAATATAATAAAGTTTAATGCCATCAACGCTAACTCTTCTTCTATCGAAAATCGTCACAATGTCTAATCTTATTTTGATTCTGTTTAATTAAAAATACCATTTCTTCTTATTAGATAATATATAGCTTTCATGTTACAAAAGAAAGTTTGATCGATGTCCAATATTCTTAATTCTTTCTTCGAACAGGAAACTCTATTATCAACATTGAAAGATAACAATTTCAATATCTATTCTCTTGTTTGGCTTGATAGTAGGCTCGATATTGATGAATATATTCATATTCAAGAAAGTCTTGGATTGTTCATTGATCATTTTCAAATATTCAATGAATCTGATCCATGTGAAGAATATATTAAATTAACATCAGTTGATGTTCAAATTATTTTAATTGCCAATGGAAATTTAGGTGAACAATTAATACTTCGAATACATCAACTTCAACAAATTTTTGCTATTTATGTCTATTGTATGAATATAGAATCTCATGAAAATTGGACTAAACAATATAAAAAAGTAAGTAACGACTGGTATTTCAATGAACTAAAATCGATTTAATTTTCATTTCTAACAAATCTTCAACATTTTTCTTCATATTCTTTAGTAATGCATCTTTCTTATTCTAACCCTGTCAAGTGAATAATGAGGAAATGGTCATTAAAATGCATTTTTTTCAAGTGAAAAATGGTGAAGTGACCATTAGAATGCGTATTGATTCGTTCGTGAACCATTTTATGATCATCAAGTGTATTTTTTCGAAATTTTGATTTGATTTAAATATTTATATAGTTTCTAAAAATTACACGATTGACTAGTGTTTGCTTACAAAGGTTCATATTCTACATAATTGTCAAGAATATAGTTCAAAATTCACGGAATAAGAGTCAATCGAATTTTGCGATCATAATGAAGAAAAATTTAGAAATAATCAAAAATAACTACTTTTTACATGACTTTAACAATGAATCAACAATGCTCAAATCGAGGAGAATCGTACTCTTTATGACACATACCATATTTAAAAGTTTTTCCTTGAAAATTGAATGTCTGTGATTGAAAAAAAAGCGTAATCTTTTTTACTTGTAGTATATTTCATTTTTCTCCATCAAATACGAAGACGTAAAACAAAGTATTAGAAATGCTTCGTCTGTTGTCGACTTTTACATACATATGTAAAATTATTAAGTATTTGATTGGACATGTTTTTATGACTTTAGCATCATTCTAATTTTTTCTTTAACATTTATATTGTATCGAAAGGGAGGCTCAGTAACATACACGAAGAGCACTTTTAGTTATATGTATATATTCGTAATTAATGTATGTGCATCCATATAATATGAGCAATTGACATATGTCTATGCCCTATACTTGTAATTTTACAGAGAGGAATAAATTCTCAGCTGTTACATTGACGTTTCAACTAACTGGAGTTTTTTTTTTCATTATTCTTTTAACGAACGAATAATCGAGATTTTTAATCGTTTACACTTTCTTTACGAATAAGGTATTACAATATTCTTAGCTTTTAGTCAGAATAAATTTTTATTTCAAGATAATTGTTTATTTATTATCGTCTTTATGTATTCATTTATTATTATATCTGTTTATAACCAAACGATCACTGAAACATTATTCTTTTTGTTTTCTCTATATCTAAATTATCTGATTAGTTTAGTGTTTGTCGTCAAACAAAGAACATTGATCGAGAAGGAACAAGAGAACAAATTCGATTCATTTAAAACGGAGATGATCTAGGTAGTACCATGTTACCCGTCTCTTTACTTAATACAACTCAGAACATACTAAACTATAAACGAAAAAATAGCATAAAAAAATCGACCTTCTGATTTTTGAGTAATTTGGACGTTTGAGAAATTTTCTTTCGAATAAATTATTTGTGTCATTTACTAGTGCGATATATCTCTGCGTTAAAGGAACACGACTTCAAGTTTTTTCAATTTATTTGAAATAATATTGAGAATTAGATCTTATAATTAACTTTTATGTTGACGAGTTATATCTAACACATACTGAGACATCAGCCATAGATTATAGTAGTTCGCTGAAAAATAGAAATCTATTCGATGTTCTGTTTTGAATAAAATAGTGTGATATGTTTCAAGTCTATTTTAATCGATTTCTGCCTCTTGACGAGTAACTTACATTAGCGGTTGATATAAATGAAAAAGTATACAAACAGTCCTATACAGAGTACATTGAATAAAATATCAGTGTTGTACGAAGAAGGAAACAAGTCAAAAGATGAGTTGAACATTTAGAATGCATGTGAAGGGGGGGGGGGGGGGTTGTTTGGTTAGTTAATAAGGTTAGATATATTCGGGTCAATTTACAGCTTTCATTACCGTGCCTAGACTGATATATTCGAATTTTAGGATATTTACACCATATGTAAAGTACTAATAAATCAAAATTTTAGTGGAATTTTTTTTCTTTTTCCATCATGATTGGATAGAGCTCGTCGAGTTATACAAGAAAAAGCATGTTTCAAATTCAAACCAATTTTTACGAGAATCAAAATTTGGAATCTATTTCCCCACCTACATCATGAAAGCCGGACAGTTTTTAGCGGCAAACCGACCACTTGGGGCGTGGGTTTGGGCTTGAGTGTGGGTGGTAATCTTATCTACATTAGTACCCACACCCATGCCCATCTGGCCAGAATATATCTAACCTTATTAACTAGCAATACAAACATATCCATCGCTAGTCAAAAAATAACCATTTTAATGCGTTACATGACGCGTATTTTAATGCCTCACATGAAAAGTATTTTTATCCCTGCCTGGGAAGAAATCTTGTGATAGCACGGCTAGCCATTGGTTATTTCGCATAGAGAACGTTTAAACACGCGAAAGTAATCAAAATTAGTTCTGAAATGAAAGGTACACTATCGACGAATTATTAGGCATATTGGAAGCTCTGAGATACTCTTCTGACAAGTGATACAGATCCAATTTTCTTCTAATATGTATCTAGGAAAGAGATTAATTGACCAGAGCCACGAGAAAAGTGTAATTTTGCATCTTGTTCAGTTTCATTTTTGCCACAAAAAAATGAACAGCAAATCTAATGAAATTTCGTTGTAACAATAACAATCAGTTTTAGGAAAAGATGTGTTTTTATAATGGCAATTTAAAATTCCACATCCCTAAACCTTTCCTATTGGAACGTCAAAAAAAAAACGATGAAATTTCGTAACAGATAATAATTTTGGTTTTTTATTTGATGTAGTCATGCCAGTTAAGAGAATGATCTGGTATTCTGAAAGCTTGTCAAAACTGAACGCCTTATGTGGAGAACGTTTACCGATATGTGTCGTGTTTTTATAGTAAGGTGCTGAATTTTTACCTCATCCCCAAAAAAGTTTCCAATTTTTGAAATTCTGTAACAATTGATATTTTATATATAACTCAACTTTAGCTAGAATAAAGTTCATGAAATTTTTACTAACAATATATCTAAATGACTTTCATTTATGATAAAAATTTCAAAGGCTTTGCGTTTGTTATTGAGGAGAAACAGACGTTACAATAAGACAAAATGAAATTTTGTAACGTTTGATCGTGCCCTGATATCCATTTATAGATAGACAGTGATGAATGACAACATTAGATTTGTACTATATTCTAACTGACTTTAAAGTATGAACACGATTGAAGCGATAAGTACATATGTAACTAAGCTGATTTTAGGTCAAATATCACAGATTTTTGTTCTTGGAATCTTTGTAGAAGATTAATATAACTTATTCTAGATACATGGTGTTCACAATCAACTAGATAATCTGATCAACCATATTAAAACCGATCGAATACGACGATGGCCACATGGTATTGATGAACCATTGTCGATTATGTTTTTTCATAATGATACCAATAACGAAAAATCAACAATGGAACTTAATGGTGAATTTCTTCAAACACAATTATTATTTGATTGTCTAAATCGAATGAAAGTAACCGACACTGATAAAGATAAACTCGTTATGCTATGTAAAGAAGCCTATAAAGAAAATCAATATCAACAAGTGATAATTGATGAATTTAAAAATACTTATTCATCTGATCAAGCAATTCGATGGTACACAAGAGATTCATTTCTTTATCGTCTATTAAATAAAGCTCTTCGTGTTCAAAATATTGATCTATTATTTCGATTTCGTTTCTTTATTGATGACATTGAAAAACAACTAAAAAATCATCAATATCCATCGTCAGTTATTCTTTATCGAGGTCAAGTGATATCAAAAGAAGAATTGAAATTATTTGAAGAATCGAACAATAAATTAATATCAGTAGCTTCATTTTTTTCGACTAGTCTTGATTCAACAGTAGCTCTTAGTTATATTGATTCAAATATAAATCATGAGAATTTACAAAGTGTTCTCTTTGAAATTCATGCTGATCCATCTCAAAATCAATCAAAACCATTTGCAGATATTTCATCAATCAGTTATTTTCCTGATGAACAAGAAGTATTAATGATGTTAGGTTCAGTTTTTCGAATCGATGGTGTTGATCATTTTAATGATACAATAAAACGTATTCGAATGACTCTTTACAATCATAATGATCAAAATTTTAATTTACTCTTCGATTTTATGAGAAAAAAAAATTGTATCGGATCGGCTCGACTGACTAATTTTGGTCGTGTACTGATTGGTATGGCTAAATTTGATGCTGCAGAAAATCATTTTAAATGTTTATTAAGAACTTTCTCGTCTGATCATCCTGATCTTTTTAATTGTTATCAAGCATTGGGAAAAATCTATTGTGAAAAATGTGATTTCGATCAAAGTCTCGAATATTTCAAAATAGCACTGGATATTCTATATCGAGAATCGATTTTGAATCAGATTCGAATTGCTTTCGTTCATAATAATATTGGTGAAGTGTATCAGAAGAAAGGCGATACTAATCAAGCATTGAAATCATTTCAACAAGCTTTGGAGATTTTCAGCAAAAAACTCGGTGATATAAATGAAAATGTTGCCTGGTGTTTCAATAATATAGGCATCGTCTATTTGATGGAGAAGAAATATTCAGAAGCACTTACCTATCTCCAAAAGGCATTCAATCTGAAAAGGCAATTACTTCCTGAAAAACATCCTTGTCTCGGTAATACATATACTAATCTTGGCAATGTTTATTGCCATCTTCATAATTATGATTTAGCGTTAAATTACTATCAAGAATCATATGAGATTTTCCAAACTTCTCTTACTCAAAAACATCCTTCCATTGCAAGGGCACTCAAGAATATTGGTGTTATTCATGAATTGAAAGGTAATTCCTTGAAAGCATCAATCTACTACAATAAAGCATTAAATCTTCGCCAACAAATTTTACATTCGACTCATCCAGATTTACTTGAAATCAAACAAGATATACAACGTGTTTTATCAAAAATATAATCAATGTCTGTACTGTGTAATTCTGATAGAATAGAGATCGAATTTGAATTGTTGTTAATCAAGCAGATTGTAGAATAAATATTTATATACATAATCTCTTTGCCTAATCACAAAATATCCACGTCATAAACTTTTAGTCCATCTTATTTACAGATATATGTCCAATACAAATAGGATTGGAATGAAAATTCTGAATAATATTACCCAGTTATAAGTTTTTTTTTCTCGAGTGAAGAAGTACACGACGTTACTAATAGGGTGTGGGTGCTCGTGCCGGTGAAGAGAACATACCCACACCCAACCCTTCGTAGAGAGCAGCTGAATGGATTTACGACCTAAGAAATAAACGGTCGAAAGAATTTGCTTATACGTTGCACTTTTATAAACTTTTTAAATATTTTTATTCTACGGATTCTTTTTACAATGTAGATGTGAGTGTTAGTGAAATGATCTTGGCTAATCTGAGATGCATTCAATTACATCTAGTGCCAATTATTCGTTTAATAGATTGATTTCGAGTCCATCGTTGAAATTTATTCTTTAGAAGTTCTTCTCATTTAAAGGATATGTCGTTGATGTACAATCGACCATCGACAAAAAAATGTAGTGGACGAAAATCATCTGCATATGGATATGTCGGGATTCTCGAAATATTTCCCAGTTCAATCCGATATGCCATATGAAATTGTTCGACGAATGAAGGTTTAATGAGGTGAAACTGGACTCACTGATGGTTAAGCGTTGATATTCACAATTGGAACTGGGAAAAGAATTTTGAGATACTGTCTTCAGCATACCGAACGAAGGACAAACAGGAGAAAAGATGTTCTCGTCCTCGAAGAATGTTTCTTTAGTCATGGTCAGTGCTTCTGTTCTGGTTTCTGTGAAAGTCGATGGTTGATATTTGATCTTCTGAGGGGGATTGTTGACGATGTTTGCTTTGAGAGGGCGAGATCTCTTTCGTGAATGAACCATCTGTACATTCGAAAACGAGACTTTCTAGTTGTACGAATCGATCGATTATACGAATGATCATTTCTTTCAAGTCAATTTCAACAAGCAAATGTCGAAGATGTGGTACTGCTCGATAAACTTCATCAACATTTTCAAGATTAATTGGATAAGTCTATTGACTTTTTTTTAAAGTCAGAGAATGAACATGTGAGGGAAGGATCAATGGCGATTCGAAATGTTTCATAATCAAATAGCGTAAGCGGCCTGTTTGTGTGAGTAACAATTGCAACTAATCTGTTTCGAAATTGAAATAATCAGTATATGAAAGATTGAGTTTTTGGATTTGACTAACAATGGAGGTATGTGAACTGTTGAGCGAAAAGATTGACTATATTCGGGTCAAAAGAAGACTTTCAGTGAGAAACTAACAAATTTAAAATATGAGTTGTGTATGGCTTACCTAGAAAGAAATATTCAATTAAGAAGTGAGTTTCTAAAATCTAGGTGAGATTTATTGACAATATTGAGACGTCTCTAAATACAACTTCCTCTGAAGTCTGATGGTACCAAATAGGAAATATATTGATTGTTATATATAGAAATCGTCTATGCATCGATAGTCTCGATCTCGACTTTATTTACATGAAATTAATAACCTATACAAAATAATATTTCAAAAGATGTACGATAGATGGAGATGAAGATCTTCAATCAAATGATAATAGCAAAGGTGTCCTTCGCACCAAGCACAAACGAGAAGAGTTCGTTTCTCTCAATTAGTAATTGAACAATAAAGATCATAGAATTTAAAGGAAACGTCCTCTGGTTTCTTTATTTCATCAATTGTTTCATTGAGTATCCTAGCTTGTACGAATCTAGACTTGATGAGAGTTTTAAATTGTGGAGCAGATAGTTGATTGTGGGTGATACAGTGCATATTTATGAAATATTGACGATCGTTCAAGTTCATTTCTGTTCGATTTTTTCATGAATAAATCACCATGAACGGAATAAAGATAAATCTTGCGGCTGAATATAACCAGTTGATCCTTTAGGAAAAATCAGTAAGTGACTGTCTTAATGTGGAAATACTGCTCTAAATTTTTTTAGATCAGTTTGAGTTGTCTAACAATCAAGGAAAAGAAGGAATCTTTTGCCAATCAAAGGACGTAGGACTTCATTTAAAAAAGCGCGATGTTTTTCGTCGCTGCTTTTTCCAAATTTTGAAGCCCGTATTACGACATTTGGTGGAACATTTAAATCCTTCTCTACTCTTTTACCGAATTCATTTTCCTTTTCTTGAAGAATAAGGAAAAACTTGCCTAATAATTGACCATCAGCTTATGTAATAGGCTGGACGGTATAAGAGTATGTTATATCATTCTTCTTTTTAACAGCAACTTCTGTTGTTCGTTCACCCTTGAAAGAAAGAGTACGTGAAGAAATATATTTCTGTTGAAATGAACAATGGTCACTGTTTAATATTTCATGAGAAGAATAATTTGAAATTAAAGATCTTTGATTTTCGATCTAGTAAATAGATTGAAGTCTCAAGTGAAGCTTTTACATACCCTTCAAACTACAAATGTTTCTGGTCGAAGAAACATGAGTAATAAGTTTGTTGTATCTTCTGGATGAAATTATCGCAATCTAGTTCTCTTGCTTTTTGAATTGCAAAAATTTCTAGATTACTATCATGAATTGCTTCTTTTTCAATTGCTTTTTTCATATAAAATTCATTCCACACAAATTCTTTGATTTTTTTTACTTTTTCTAATCTTGTGTCGTTTGCTTTAATATATTCTCTAAATCCTGTAATGTAATGCATGTATTTGACTTTTCGAAACCTTTGCTTAATAGATGCAAATTTATAATTTGGATGTTGATCAACTCATTCCACTATGTTTTCCATCTCGTCTAATGTAAAACTGTTCTTAATGTTCAGATATTGATTTTCATCATAATCATCAATATTTTCTTCTTCATCAGTTAATTCATTTTCATCAGCGCTGCCTTCTTCATCTGAAACTTCATCATATTCGTCATGAAAATTAAGACTTTGATAAGTATATAGTTCATTAAAGTAACTATCTTTAAATGTTTTTAAAATTTCGAACAATTGTTGCGAAGCAAAAATTTCATCCGCAGTTATTGTAGAATCTTCAAAGAGAAATTTCGTTTGTGTTAAATGGGAAAGATGTTTCGTAATGTTCACCAAATTCATCTTTTTAATCGACAAGAGTAATCATTTTAAGTGTTAATCGTGGTGGTAAATAAGAAAAAACTTTACTTTGAATATCTTGCTTATGAACAACATTCAAACACAATATTGTTCTTTTCGAATTGGATACCGTTAAACTTCGAAAGGTATATCTGGACAGGTCTCAATATTGTCAATAAATCTCACCTAGATTTTAGAAACTCACTTCTTAACAATCTGATAATTATATTAAACGATTAATGTGACTAATTCATATATTATCATGCTTGTATACCCTAACAATGCATAACTTAAAAATTGAATATTTCTTTCCAGGTAAGCCATACGTAGCTCATATTTTAAATTTGTTAGTTTCTCACTGAAAACTTTCTTTTAATCCGAATATAATCGATCTTTTCGCTCAACAGTTCACACACCTCCATTGTTAGCAACATTGTTTAGTCACTGCATTACTATTTGGTAAATAAGGCATTGATTACACTTTATACGTAATTGTGACTCAAAATGCATTCTTATTGCGTCTCAAATACGACGTAATTTATGTGTAATCAAACACTCGGAAGTTGATGAGTTGATCTTTTTCGAGGGATTTTTAACAGCTACGTAATACGATAAAAACATCATACGAAAAATCAATCATCTAACATTAAGCCATAGATGAGTATATCATCTTACGTGCGCAGAAACGCAAAAAAAGTCAAGG